CTCTTCTACCCCACCCTGCCTTACCTCAACGCCTCCAGACATCTCTGTCAAAATCCGTTGTCACTTTGAGCTCTGCTGTGTGACAGTGAGTGTTTGTAGTGTGATTATTTTGATGGGGAATTGTGGATGTGTGATTTTTTTTTTTGGGGGGGGGGGGGAGGTTACTACTTCAATTGAGGATGGGGTGTCAGTTAACTGAAGTATTTAGAGTAAGTTCATAGCTGATATTTTGGGTTTCCTTAAGCTTGTTCTCTAGATAAGAGATCTGCAGAGAATTTTTGTTTCTTTACTCTCCCGTCACTGCAAGTGCGATTCATCTGTTGAGATAATTACACAGTAAGATACAACATGTTCAGAAAACCTTCCCTATCATTTTCACAGGGTTTGTTTTTTTTTTTTTTCTTCCTTCCATTCTTGCCCAAAATGCTGCTTCTATTTGGGCTGTTCTGTAAAAGCTTCATGTCAAGCTCAGCAAGTCCTTTACTATCATGGTGGGTTAAGAGCAGAGCCATCTCGGCTGGGCAGGGTTCCCAGCTCTCGGCTGCTTGGGTAGCTGTTGTCTGCAGCTCCTCAGGGACTTCTGGTTGCATAGTCTTAATTTGACTTTTGAGTATTTCCTAGGTAGAATGGGGAATGCACTGACTGCCCATCTCTACCATGTTGCCCTGAGCAGGGAGCGATAGGCATTGAATTCTGCTTGATTCCTTATGGTGGATCTGATTTGCTGAGGCTTTTGTATGTTTAAAGGGATGCTCTGTAGGATTTCAGCACAAGGGATGATTTACTTGTTTCCTTCCACTTCTCGTCCTTAAGTTGTTGTTCTTAGTTCTGACTATGTACTTGAATTTCATGCTTTAAGAAATACATTCTTTTATAAAAGAAGTGGTTCTTGAGGGTAATAAAACAGACAACAATCTCAAGTGGCCTGCTTTTATGCTGACTACTAGATGTAGGGTGGGAACAAAGAAAAAAAGGCCAAGGAGCTAGTTCAGAAAAATAAAATATTAAGAAAAACCCAAACCCACAATTAATTTTGCTGAAAATACTAATAATGGAATAGTGCATGCTGATTTAAAATCAAATAATGCAAATACTGCATGAGAGAAATACCACAAGTAGCACGACTTAAATGACAGAATATAAACCTTTTACTCTGAAAACTCGGCAAGAACCTCTAATATAAATGTGACTTGTTTTAGCCAGCCTGCTGGGGATTGTTTAATTTGCTTCCCAGTCCCTGAAGAGATGTGATATAACTGTTAAGTAACCACAGGGTAATAACAGACTGAGTGAACCTGATCTTTATCTGTGATCAGTTTTAGCTACGGAGGTGAAAAGCTTATGCTTTTTTGTATCTTTCTGCCTGTAACCACTTCTTCTAGGCTCTTTTAAATTTTCCGCCCTGCTCAGTCTATCACTGTGGCACTGGTGGCAGCCTGAGGCCCACACGGAGCTTTACAAAAGCTATTGGCCTGGCTGCCTCTCTTGCAGCTTTGCATCCCGATATTTCCTTCTCTCTGTCCTTAGTCGGGCACAGGTTTGCCACTCTGTATGACATCTAAGGTGATTAGGATCTTGTGCCATGGTTGGGTTCCAAGGTTTTGCCAAAACGATAGCATATCTATTAATGAAGTAATTGTAAAAGCAATTATTTAGATACTGACAGCAAATGCAAGGGCTAGTGATGATCAGGCACAAACGCTCCCTACTAGGCTGCGAAACCCTGCACGGGGTCCGCTCCCCACGAGTAATTGCTGTCAGATCTGCCTGTGTAAATCAGTTCGAGTTCAGTTTGGTTCATAATAAAGGCAGTAAAATTGCTAAGGCAGCTGACGCTGACCTCACTGGAGTAGCTGAAGTGTGATGTAATCCCAAACGCAGACTCCCCCTTCCATCATGTTTAATAGCCCTGTGTCCAAAATAGTGCTGAGTGCGTATAAGAGAGAGCCCAGCACTACTGCTGTTGCTGGGGCTTGCTTCATCCTGTGGTTGGGTAAGGAGCCGTGTTTTGGTTTTGGAGATAATTGGGCCGTGTGGCGCTCACAGGGCTCTGGGTTGACAGCCCAGTGAAACAATCCCTGGCTTTAGAGTAGTCAGATATTTAGAATATGTTTTTCCCTTTTCAGCACATTTACTTAAAATCTGCAGCAGTAAGTAGCAGGTGTGTTCATGGAACGTATATGCTTGTAACAGCGTATATACACACATTTTTACATTTGTTCCTGTATAATTGAAGAACAAATTTTTTTTCCCCCAGTAATAGGCGTTTTATTGCTTAGTCAGTAAAATGGAAGAGTTAATGACCTATGCTTCCCTGTCCTGACTGGATACATTGAGAAATGGAAATAATGATGGGGCTGTGGCTCAAACATGGGATTTCACAGCAAGAATGGCTTGGCTGTTGCTCAGGTTTTCTGTGTGACCTCCCAAAAGTCACTTTTAACCTCTTAACTTCCACTCTGTTGCCTGTACAGTAGGACTGTTAGTGTAAAGGGGCTGTGCTGGGGTTTTGTAAGCAGGTAAGTCTTCTAAAAATTACCGATTCATCCAAGCATTGTGCACTGCAGTCCACCAGTGGACAAAATATATCTTCTGCCTGCATTAACTGTATACGATATGAGCTTTTACTTAAGGCCTCCAAATATATACCCTTTCATGTCCCTATCCCATTTGCCCTACTCCCACCCCCCAAAAAAACCCAAAAAAAACCCAAACGCATCAAAGAACCAAAATGAAACACAAATGCTGTCAGGTATGGTGATAGTTGCAAGGACCAATAGTTAATTTTTAATCTTTTTTTTTTTTTTTTCCCTTCCACTCAACCTAGGATGCAGGGGCTTTAATCCAGGATGAATGAATGCTACTATGATAAGCGCATGGACTTTTTCTATAACAAGACAAACACTGACACAGTAGATGAGTGGACAGGGCCAAAGCTTATTGTTGTTTTGTGTTTTGGGACATTTTTCTGCCTCTTCATTTTCATTTCAAATTCTTTGGTCATAGCAGCTGTGGTCAAGAACAAGAGGTTTCATTTTCCCTTTTACTACCTCCTGGCCAATTTAGCTGCTGCAGACTTTTTTGCTGGAATTGCCTATGTCTTCTTGATGTTCAACACTGGCCCAGTGTCTAAGACATTGACTGTTAACCGCTGGTTTTTGCGTCAGGGTCTGCTGGACACCAGCCTCACAGCTTCCCTGGTGAATCTCCTCGTCATAGCGGTTGAGCGGCACATGTCGATAATGCGGATGAAGATCCACAGTAATCTCACGAAGAAGAGAGTCACCTTTTTGATTATATCAATTTGGGCCATTGCTATTTTCATGGGTGCTGTTCCTACCCTGGGTTGGAACTGCCTCTGTGACATTACTGCCTGCTCATCCCTGGCGCCTATTTACAGCAGAAGTTACCTGGTGTTCTGGAGCGTCTTAAACCTAGTCGTCTTCTTCATTATGGTGGTGGTTTACATAAGAATCTACATGTACGTCCAGAGGAAAACTAATGTCTTGTCGTCCCACACTAGTGGATCCATTAGCCGTAGGAGAACCCCTGTGAAGCTTATGAAGACTGTCATGACGCTCCTAGGTAAGGACTGCAAACCCTGGTGTGTGAGGCTGCCAGTGCCAGTGAATGGGTTTCTGTGTTGGTTTGGTTTTGCTCTTTTTTGTTGTTTTTAAACAACACAAAAAAACCCAATCCCCTAAACCAAAACTAAACAACAACAACAACAAATCTCCAAACTTTTAAGTGCTGGAGTCATTTAGACTTGTGTCTGATTTAGATAATAAGTGTTGCACCACACAGAAACGTGAAGCAGAGGACTGGTCAGCATGTAGAAGAAAAGCGTCTGTGTTTTGTACACCTCTCTGGGTGTTCTCCTCCTGTGGTCCTACAGTTAAGAGCTGAGGGAATCAGGGTTTCAGTGTGACTTCATGGATTCATGGTGGGCACAGCTGCAGGTGGTTTTTTGCGCTGCTCTTTGGGCTTGGATGGCCCCTTCCAGTGTCTGGGACTCAGGTCCCTGCCATCCTTCTACCATAACCCCTAAAATGGTCCATCACAGGGTAGGAGCAAGGTTTTTCCTTTGGCATGCTAAACTGTAGGAAGTTATCTGATTGAAACTGGAAGATGTGAAACCTAGCAGAAGGGGCTAAAATCCTCTTAGCTTGCGGCATAGTCCTAGCTACGCTGGTGACTGTGGGTTATGCAGAAGGGTGGCTGCAGGTGTGTAGGTACGTGATCTTCAGGTGGTATGCATGTGGTATCTCTTCGGAACTTGGCAGTGAGATT